TGACTAATAAAATAAGAAGACAAGTCACTGCTACTAATAAATATTAAACATATATATATATATATATATGTTTAACAACTGGAAAAAAAAAAGAAATATTTTTTTATTCACACCTGTTGTAAGAAGATTAATCATGTATGAGAAAAAATGAGAAGATAATATAAACAATTCATCTTAGTAACAATAAAATCTACTTTTTTCTTTTAGATACTTAATCTACTTGCAAATACGTAATTATTTTGGAAATAAGATTCGGCGCGAACAAATCAATCACAATTATTTTTTTTTCATTGTATCAATAATTTATCAAAATTTTAAATATTCTTTATTCTCAATTAGTTAGTTAGCTGGTTAGTTAATATGAATACTTGCAATGAACAATATCGGTAATAGGATAATCACTTTCTTGATACAATAATGAATACTTCTCACTTATTATGTTTTCTTTCAAAATATTTGAAAGTTATTCACATTTAGTCGTTTCTTTTTGTCCCTCATATAGATAGAAATTCTACTTATACAGACAGAAAATTTTTACCCATTGAAAAGAGGTCACCAATAGTCGTCATTGCAAATAAATTTTAATTTATAGTTCATCATTTGTACTACAAAATAAATAGATATATTTTTTCTATTTTGTTTTTAAGAATTATTGAATATGCATGCATTAATTTTGAAATTGTTAATTATACTAGACAAGTATTTCATTATTGTTATAGCTGATTTGACGAATTTTTTTACCTTTGAAATTGCTATTTGAATTTGTAATCATTGAAACTATTTTTAAATACTTTCTCAGAAAATAAGATTTAGAAAAGTTTCAACCGAATATAAGCAAAGCAAAAAAAAATAAACCTTTTTTTTTTCTCCTTTCTTTAGATATTCAATGATCATAAAAAAAAAAATTTTTTTCTTCTTCATGCAAAGAACCTATCTATAGTCGTTAAATGGCAATTATAATAGGTATTAGCCCTGATTTTAATTGGTCTATCACTATTAAGTTATTCATGCATTTGATAAAAATAAAACTGTTATTTCGAACATGAATGGATAATAATAACCAATCATTAATTAATTAATTATAGTGAATTATTTTAGTTCTTGAATTTAAATTTAAAAAAAAAAGAAAAATCTTATTTAAAATGTCAGTCGAAGAAAAACAAGTACGTTCAGTATTTGTTGGGAATATTCCACATGGAACAACAGAAGATCAAATGAAAGAAATATTTTCTGTTATTGGACCTGTTTTATCATTTCGTATTGTATTTGATCGTGAAACAGGAAATCCGAAAGGATATGGATTTGCTGAATATACGGGTAGAAAATATTTCTTAAGTTTAAAATCAACTTTTTTTTTGTTTTTGAAAACATTATCAAAGATATTGATATGGCTCAAAGTGCAATACGAAATTTAAATGGTTTTGAATTTAATGGTCGAACACTTCGTGTTGATAAAGCATCATCACAAGCTGATGAATTACGTTTACTTCATCAACAAACAACAATTAGTGTACCAACATTTGAAACTGTTAAAAATGCTAATATTACATCAGATAAAATACCTGAAGTAATTGCACGAACAATTGGTATATTAAATTCTTAGTTCTTTTTTTTTTTCGCTGTTTTAATTAAAATTTTTTTATTTCTATTTATTTTACTTATGTTTACAGTTAATCTTCCACCAGAACAAGTTGTTGATTTAATGAAACAAATGCAAAATATTATAAGAGAATATCCAAATGAAGCACGAAATATTCTTATACAAAATCCTCAATTAACATATTCTATGTTACAATCACTTGTTATTATGGGTTTAATAACTCCAAATGAAGCTATTAATATGTTACATAAACGACCTGATGTACCTTCAATAAATCTTATAAATAATAATTCTTCATCAATATCAACTTCTAATTTTCAAACAATATCATCATTAGTACAACAATCATCTTTACCAATTACTTCATCATCTCCATTTCATTCACATTTAACATCAATGAATTTTCCAATAGTATCAACAACATCTGTACAACAATCACAAACAAATTCGAATATAACTAATGGTTCATCTTTATCGCGTACTGATCAAGAAAAAGCTCAACTATTAATGCAAATATTACAATTAAATGAAACTCAATTAGCTCAATTACCAGCTGATCAACGTGCGAGTATTATATTATTAAAAGAACAAATGCAACAAAGTGGCATGATTTCATTATAATATTTATTTATTTATTTTCTTTAATATAGGTCAATTTTGTTTTCTGTTTATGAAATAAAAATGTAACGTAGTAATATATCATAATAAAACTATTCTATTAGGATGAATATTTATTGAAATCATACATTTTCTAACGAGAAATGTAGTAAAGAATAACGAAAAAAAAAAACAGAAGAAATTCTTAATGAATATTCCATTGAGATTCTAGGCAGTGCATTAGCAAAGCAATAGGATTGTAATTGCTTCTACTGATATCTCCCTATTCTGATGATTCGTATGGAAAGACTGATACACATTGCTAGAAATTTGTTTTATTCTATTTGTTGTATAGCTATTCCTTTGTCACATATATCTGACATCTATCTTTATTAAAGAAACTGAAGGTCAATTAATTAATATTATATAATTGAATAAACACAAAGATCATTGTTCTTTTTTTTTCTTGTTAATGACAATAGAAACAAAAATGCTTTTTAGCTTTCTCGATTTTATGCTTATTTTAGACTTTTACAATTTTTTGATTATGTTCTAATTTATTAGATAAATGTTTGAAACAAGTAAAATTTCTTATTATTTCACAAATAAACCAGAAATTCCATTACAAAAAAAATCTAATACATCTAACGGTATAGCTATTGTAACTACAAATGAAACAGCTTTATTAGGTGAAACTGATTAGGGATGTACCAATTTCTAGAACATAATATCACAGATGACATTTTTTCCTTTATTAAGATTGTAGTTCTCTGTCGATTCTTCATATCAGTCATGGTCACTTGTCCTTGCTCTATCTGAAACTGTAGTCGAAATTCATGAATTCCAAAACATCTGTTTCGTATTTCATGAATTTCGACTACAGCTTCGGATAGAGCAAGAAAAAGTGACCATTACTGATATGAAGAATGGACAGAGAACTACATTCTTAATAAGAAAAAAACATATAATCTTTGACATTGTGTTCTAGAAATTGGTACATCGCTAAAATTGATAATGTAACATCAGTGCCATTCTCTGGAGGGTGTGGATGTTGGTGTTGATCTTATCTAGTTTATCTTTATTTTATATTGAATGCAGTTTTAAAATTGATTTAGGTACTATTGTAAATGAATTTGTATCAAAAAAATATATTTTGACAAAAAATTAAGCTGATCAATATAAGACTAGGACTGAAATATTTTTTTTTTAATAATTACCCATTAAAAAAAATTACTAACTCTCTAGAAAGTTTTGTTAGCGCTACCTATGATTAACATTATAAACAACAATACAATCGTTCGATACAAATTATCTTTTTTCATTGTGTTTGTGTTTGTAAGGAAACATTTTATCAATGTTAATAGTCTATTCGAATAAAAAAACTTGCCGATATCGAGTCATTCAAATGAATAATCTTATGATAAAGTAAAGTACAATTTATAGAAGTCAATATCTGATTGCACATTTATCTAATATCACTTCACGATCACTTGCTTTTGGCACTCTTATGTTCGACATACTGATCCGTCCAATCTCGTGTTCATTTACATCTACAGAATCATGCAACATACTCAGCCAACTTGAATAATCTTGACTTGTGTATGCCATGCAATTATCGAGAAGAATAGAAAGTTAACCAAAATATGTCAATGAAGTGAAGTGAAGTAAGAAAATGAGTACATGTCAATCTCGTCATGTCTCATACATATAATACAATTTAAGACTGTCGGTCACACTTTTTTTTCTCTTTCGGTACGATAGTACAGGTGATATGTAAAAAGTCTCATCAACATTAAAATTTTATCTTTATTCATTAATAATATACGCATATTTCTTCTACTTTTTTCTGATATGAAAAGAAACTATAATGCAAAAGAAAAAGCAAAATTCTCTAAAGAGAATCATGTTTTTTTTTGTCAAAATATATAAACACTCTTCTCATCATTTAGGATTGACCAGATGCTTTCGTTATATTCGATAAAAGAATATTTTTTCGAGATATTAAATCCTGCTATGTTTCATCTGTTTTAACAGAGAATACAATATTTTTATTTATATATACAAACAAACTGTTCATACAGTGCAAATTTAAAAAAAAAAGAGAAAGATTTAATTTAAGATCATATTTTCTTTGTCATTTTCATGAACAATAAGATGTCTTTTAAAATTTGTTTGTTTTCAAAAACCATGATTACAATAAGAACAACGAAATGGCCATACACCATTATGTATATGTATATGATAACGTAAATCAACTGGTGTAACAAAAGTTTTTGAACATTGTAAACATTGATGTGGTTTGCTTTAATAAGAAAAAAAAAAGAAAATAATAATACTCTTCTTCTTTTAATATCAATATAATAAAACATACACTATTATATGTCATTCGATGATAATAAAAATTTGATGAAGCTACAAAAGATTTTTGACATATTTCATATATATAAGGTTTTTCACCTGAATGTATTCGACAATATGTATTCAATGATGATGATGATGATGTTGAAAATAATTTTGAACATATATCACATATATATGATTATTCACCAGTATGAATACGAATATGTCGAATTAATAATGATGAACGATCAAATGATTTCATACAATGTGAACGTTGTTGTATACAACGTTCTTTTTTTTTTGTATTGTATTAGAATTTATTACTTGTGTAAAGGCAAATGTGTTTCAATTTATTTTGTTGACGAAAGTATATAATCAATCATAAATGATATGACTTTTATGTAAGAGATTACATATTGAATCATTGTGGAAAACTAGTTTCAATTAGAAGGATCTATTGAATATCCCTCACGTTTTTCTCTATGCATCGATAATCCTTCTTCAAGATCAGACAAGTATATCGACATATGTCCCAAGATTGTTTTTGATAAAAACAAAACCTTATATAATTATTTTAGTTGGTTTTCCAGTTAAAATTTCAAATAATATTTTCTTGATATTTTTCTTTAAGACTTTATTACGTGTATTTTTATTCTATTTTATAGATTTTTTTTTTCATTGCAAATAAATAAACTCAATCATTTAGAAACAAATGATGGTCATATTATAAGTCATATTCAAATATTCTTGTTTACAACATCTATATTTTATTTTAGACAGAGAAAACAGTTATAAGTAATGTTTTTTTTTCTCGAGTGATCAATATTCTCTTATTGTTTTCGCCTGATTTCATTTTCTATTTTTATGATGGACAAGTTAACTTATATCTCATGTGGTTTTAGATTGGCATATTGTCAATAATTCTAATGTTTGTATGTATAAGATCAGACTAAAAGATAATGTCAGGCAGGTGATACATTATCATAGTGAAAATTTATTCTTAATTGAAAGAAAAAAGTACGCAGTAGAATATTAGAGGGTACGGTAGATTTATAAGAAAAAAAAAAAAATATATATATAAATATACGAGTATAATAATTTACATTCAATATTGATTGAAATTGCATCAGTTTCCTGTTTTACTATTCCCGATGACGGTTCGACAATAAAGTGAATACGAGAGAAAATTACAGTGTATGCTAACCTTGAGACTATTTGAAAAGCAATTGACCTCACAATTTAAATCAATGAATTGCTCATTTCATGAAAAAATATTAATATAAAATATATGCCAAAAATGACAGAGAGCGTGACACTTCACAATAATAAAATTGTTCTCAAATAAAAAAATACAATAACAATGGTTTAGAATTGAGAAAAAGTATAATTATCAATTGATAAATACTTTTTCAATATTGTTTATTTACAATATAAATACCATTTTCTAATGAGAACAGTTTTAACAATATATATTCTAAGAACAAAGCCCTAACTCAGTGCTGGAGGCGCAAAGCAAGGTGGTTGAGTCTCAGAAAAAGGGAAGAGAGATGCATGGACAAATCTCAAAAGCAGGAAGAACGTTGTGTGGACAAATTTCAGAAGTAGGAGGGCGTCCCGTTCGACTCTCATAAGTTACGTCTCTATTTAAAGAAATTGTTATTATTTTTTTCATTATAAGATATACATCATCACAAGTATAATTGACATAGAAATTTTTTTAAAATGTTTCTCATTATTTTATTCTATTCTTAGAAAAAATATATTTTAGTTAGAAACGAGAAAAGAAATTTAGATTTAGAATAGATTATTCAAATGTTATTTTCAATTATTTTTGTAATTGCAGATGTGCCAATGATCATCAAGATCAATTGAATTCTCAACCTATAGAAAGAATTTTTCGTAGTAACTTATATTCGAAAGAACGAGTTTTGTCTGTATGTGCTTTTTCGTAAGAATACATGTTGATGAAAGTGAAGTTGACCAATGTCGAGTAATAAACATCTATTTTTTCAATGACATTGTCGATTGAATTTTTCTTACATATTTACGGTCTTCACTTATAAAAACATAAATCTTATTTTCTCTGACTTTCAAATCGATTTGATTTTTAAAAAAATAAAAAAAACAGAAAAGTGTTTTTTTTTTCATTGCTAACATCGTTGATATTGTGCATAAATCGAACAGTCAACACTGGATAATAATTTACCAATCATGTCGTCAATATTTATTTGTATAGGTTCATTATTAGTATGAGAACGTTTTGAACGATGATGATGTTTTCTTGATCTATCTGATGTTTTATTAATTGAAGCAACTATTGGTCGTAGACAATCATCAACAATAGCACGTGCATTATTTTGTAAATTATCATTTAATTGTTCAGTGGAACTTGTACGCGGTATTGTTGCATAAGATTCTTCATCATTAGCTGGTGGAAGTGAATCGTCATAATTTGAACATTGTATAATAGAATTTCGATGTTGACGACGATATAACTGATTATCTTTATCCATTGTTAACCGATATGTATCATTAGCAATTCGTACAAAGCCAGATTTTTCTAATGTTGCAGTTGGTGATCGATTTGTTGGAATACGTTTTTCAATTTTTTTAACAATAGCTGCTGATGATTGACGACTTTTTGTTATAACAGGAGTATTTATTTGATTATCTTTTAGAATATCTTCTGCACTACATGTACGATGAGAACGACCAATAGGTTTTTGACGTTGTAATGGTGATAATTTATTATCATTTATTTCTAATGTTGATGTTAGTAAACGATGACATGGTACAAATGAATGAGATTGACAATGATTTAATGATGTTTGAGAATCATCTATAGATTCAACTGAAATAATATCTAATATTGATAATGTATCTTTTGATGGTGAACGATGACCATCATTTATATCAGTACGTTCATCAGTAAATATACCACTTGATGTTGATTCATCACGTATATCATTATCATCCATAGATGATGATGAACGTGTTTGTATTGGTGGTCGAAATTTTTCAATAAAATGATTTGAAAAACTTTGAGGAAAATCAACTATACATTCATTAGATAAAATTGATATATTAATTTGTGATTGTTGTGGATCTATTGAATTTTGTTGAAGAAAATTTCCATGAGATGATGAAAGTAATTTTGATCTATCATTAATTATTTGTTCATTATTACATCGTGTTGTATCTATAGAAAGTTCTTCATTTAATTGAACATTTTTACGAATTGATGGTTCAGTACGTTTTGGTACTAATAGATTTCCATTATTAAAGAATTTTGATGATGATAATAATGTTGCAGATTTTTCGCGTTGCATATTAAATGCTGGTAATTGAAATTGTGTATAAGATGATACAGCATTTGAAGAATTATTATCATTCATAGTAGAAAAAGTTGGCATAGCCTTTATTTTATTTCTTGCTGTCAAAAGTCGTGGAGTTGTTGTTAATGTTGATGGCATTTCTCGTGTTGTGATTGTTGTTGCTGGTGCTGGTATTGGTGCTGCTACTTTCAATGTTCCTGTTGCTGTAGAATTAATTATTTGAGACTTTCTATCTGGTTTATGTGAAGCACTAGAAAGTGTACCAAACCATTTTCGTGGATTAAGTGTCCAACGACCTTTTGATGGCATAAGTAACTTTATTCTATATACTTTTCGATTGAATAAAGTGAAGTAATATTAATAAAAATTGCACTCGAACTGTTCTTTACTTTAACTATTACTTTCTAATCGATTGATAGTATGCACTGTATATGGGATTGTACGAAGCACAATATAAAATTGTGAACAGAAACACTCGACTCTTTTCCTTTCCAAATATATAAGAGATGGAGAAAGAGAAGTAGAGAGATTGATGAGTGTTTGAAATACGAACAACAACAAGAAGAAGAACAACAAGAGCAACAGCGCGATTTCACCTTTTGCCTACCAATAGTCTCTCTCTATGGCGTAGTAAGAGAAACGCAGAACAATCAAATATTTTTTTTTATGACAAGTCATCAGCATCTTATATTCAATTGATTGTGCTAGATGTGTCGAACATTTTTCTCTCTCTCTCTCTGTCAATTCTCTATAATAAATACTTTTGACGATTTATTGCGCATACATACACACATACATATATAAGATGAAAATTGAAAAAAATAATAAGTGACAGAGCAGAAAAAAAGAGGCCGGCTCAAGATACTTGAAATACATAATATGTGTAGGAAATCACAGAAAATTAATAATAATTCATTTCTATTAATTTTAATTCCCAATGATAATTCTTTTATTGTTTATTTGAATTCATTGATGACTTATGAATTTGATTATTAATTCAATGATTACTTTGATTTAAATAGTCAATAGGAGTAATTTTTGTTGATGACTTTTGTATTTGTTTATGATAACCGCGATTTGTACTATCTGTTAATCTATCCGTATAATCAATTGATGAACGAGTATTTTTATCATATTGATGCGGTTGTTGGTGTGGGTGTGGGTGTTGGTGTGGATGTGGGTGTTGTTGATCATATTTATGCATTTCAGAAATAACAGTTATTTCACGTGAACCAATTTCTTCCTGTTTTACTCGACGATTTCGTTTATGTCGGTGTTCATCTGTAGAAGAATGTGGTTGACTTGCATTGAGATCAGCATTATTATTTTTGAAACAGCCTATAACAATTAAAACAAAGATAATACTAAGAATTGTCGATACACCCAGAACAACGCCACCACCAATCGTTCCAGTTATACTGCCTTTCACTATACCTGCAAAATAAAAAGACACCAAATATATATAGTGTAAGTAAAGAAGAAACATTATACACAACAAAAAAAAGAAAGATATGAATATACCATAAATGAGTGCAGCAAGTCCGCCAATAAGTCCACAAGCTAAAAGCAAACCTAAAATGGAAATACATGCTTCTACACCAGACGATCGTTGTCGTGTATTGCTTCGTTTTGAGGAAAATATCATGTTTTAAATAAAATCTTTATAAATAATATATATATATATTCTTTTTATTCTAAATTGTGAATGAAATATTTTCCAGATTTTAATCTTCTAATGATCAATAATAACTAATATTGAATAAATTTCTATGTATACTCTTTTTTTTATAATACAAAGTGTTATTTGCAACTGTCTCTTCTTCTTCTTCTTCTTTGTTCTTTTCTCATCTGTCAATGGTTGTCATCTATCTAACTTAAATTCTTTTTTTTTCTTCGTCTTTTTAAATAGTTCCATATTAGTGCTTTCTATCTTTTTCTTTTCAAGGTAGGCAAGCACATTCTAGTTATTTTTATTTCTTCTTATTTCAATTCTTGTTTCTTTCAATGCCAATTGTATGTATGTGTTTGAGTAAAGAAAATCTAATTTGTGGGTTTTTTTTTCAGCACCTAATGAAATATATAAAATATTATACTCGCACTTTTTCATTCTTTCTATTTGTTTTATTTGATTCGTAGAATGTGTTATAACATAGTTTATCATTTATATTGTGTTTTCGACGATGAAAAGAAAAAAAAAAAAAGAAAAGAAATTAAATATTATAGTCAACATTTATTTTAAATGATCGAGCTTTTCTTTATAATAATTTATTCAAATAGATAGATTTTTATTTCTTTTGATCACAATTGTTAACATTACTGATAGATCGTTGAAATGACTATATATGTGACTGATTCACATGGTTGATCGATAGAAGAAAAAAAAAACGTTGATTTTAGCATTATGATTGTCTATTTTTTTTTAGCTCATGAGAGATTTTTTTTGTTTATGTTTGATACGAGTATTTTTCATAATTTCTATTAAATATCTCAAGTACAAAAAGATGAAATTTAAGTTGATGTGTCATATATTGTATAATGACCAAAGTTTATTCAGTTGTATATTTGTTTAATATGGTATTTCGAATAGAACTCTTCAGGTTAGTTCTGAATGGGTTCGGGTCTGAAAATTTAGGACAAGACGGGCTTTAGTCCTCTAATCAGTGAGTGCAAAAATCCGGGAAGAAATATCTCATATCTTTGGAGTGACTACCCAATTTCGATTAAAAAGTCTCATTGAGATTATCAAAGTATGAGTCGATCAGGTCCGGTTCTAAAAATTTTCGATCCGACAGACTCTAATTTCGGAGATCAGAAGAATAAGAAAGACATAGAATTGAATTCGATATTGTAATCGATCATCTTCTTTTGCTTCGCTAATGTTGTTTATCATTGTATCCTAAAAGAAAAAACAATAGATGCCTCTTGATACTTTGAAACTAGCTGTGATGAAGTTCAACTGATAGAAAATTGATATTAATGATTTAGAATAGAATGTAAAATTTTTCCTCATAATAATGCAGTTTAACATAATTTTACAATCAATTTAGAATTTTCGTCCTTTTTTTTATTATTAAGTACAGTTATCATCATCAATAAAGCCATCACTGGAAGGTGTAAAATGCTATTATGCTATTGCTATTATTCAAGTTTTCTTTCAAACTTACTCATTATTGTTATTGCAAAATTATATACTTCAATGTTCAATTTTAATTTAAAGTCATTCAGTTACACTTAGGGTTAATTGGCACATGTGTCGGTTTATGGATTATTTTATAAATTAAAATTGATTCTTGTTGGTATAGTTTGATTTCTAAATGTTATTGTTTGTTTTGTAATAAATAGAAATGTATTGATGATGACTTTACTTAATAAAAAAAGGCTGAAAAGTTCAAATTGATTGTAAAATTATATTAAACTGTATTATTATGGTTGATTGTTTACTATTATATAAGTATTCTTTCAAACTTTTCTTTATTATGTTTGTTCCTGTTATCAAATGCGTCAAAGTTAATTTTGTTGAAACTTTAAAACGTAAATAAAGCTTCGACTTCTCTAATTGTTCAATTTTTATTTAATTGAAAAACATTAAAAAACTTTTCTTTGAATAATTATATCCGCTTTACTATATAATTAAACAGAAGAAATTTTATTGTATATATAACAATAATAGTCAAAACAAAAAAGCTTAAAACTTCTATTAATGAAAAAAAAAAAAAGATTGAGATTCTTTTAAAAATATTTATTCTTTTTTCTTCTTGTTATCTTTGTCAGTATCATTATTTTGTTCAATACGGTTTTTTTTTATTCGTTTAATACAAAGTTTTAATAAAACGATTGATTCATAAAGCCAAATTCCCTAAAAAATAATACATATTCATAAAAAGAATTTTATTCTTTTTTTTATTTTTGTTTTTACTTACCACCATAATACAGCAATTAATAATTACAGGTAAAGATAAAACCGTTGATATAAACATACCTCGACTATCAAAATATTGATCTCCGGCAAATAATCTATAAATAAATTATAAATATTAATCGAATTAATATTCCTTTTCAGATACTTACTTCCAGTTTTCAGCAGCTAATTGATTAATATATTCTGCACAATAGATGCATGAGACTAAAATCTAAAGTTATATTTTAATTATAGATATAATTTCTACATACGAAGACCAAGAAAAATAAATATTTGAATATTTAAATATCCACGTGTTAAAATAATAATTAATAAACAAATTACATGAAAACCACATAATGCAATTAACCATGGTTCATACCAATTAATCTTAAAATTTAAAAGTCAAAAACAAAAACAACTTTTATTGATTTATTTTGTTTTAAAACTTAATCAAATCTTACCATCCGAAGAAATTGCCAATAACTAGTAATTGATGTTGTTTCAATAAAAGATTCATGCATTCTTTTTCTTTTTCTTTTTTTATTGTCTTCAAAAAAAAAAAGAAAAAACAATTCAAAATCATGTTTTTATATGTCTATGCTGTTTTCTGTTTTTAAAGTCTTTTATTTAAATAAAAAACAACGAGAGATAACAATTCAAAAGAATTACACCAAAAGTACAGCATTAATACATCCATCATTTTCTGGATGATTAGTGACTTGTGCATACTTTCCCCATACGACTTTACCACCTTGTGTAACCATACCAAGTTCACTAACGTTGACCTAATATAAACAAAATAAAAATAAGAAACTTTTGTTTTTTTTTTTTATTATTTTTATGAGAACTAACTTCAAGTACTGTTCCTTTGGTGATAACACCTAAGGATGTATAAAGTGGTGAACTTGGATTCTTCTTAACACCAATAATAGGTAATTGAAATGTTGCTTTCAATTCTGGATGTGTAACGTGTGCTTTAGTGAATCGAAGTGCCTAAAAACATGTTCAAACATGCGTAATTTAATAAATATTTTAATACATCATTTAGTATAAAGGTTTTCCCTATCAGAAAAAAAAGACAATTTTTATCACAACTACTGATTATAAGTTTTATATATGAGTAGAAAGTATACCGTACTGATTAAAAATAGAAGATTAAGATATTTTTGATTTTTTTTCTATGATACCAATTAAGTTCTCTATTGAATACATTCAATATCAAGATTACATAGACAGGCAATGAGAGGGAGGTTTCTAGAAAACCAAACACGATAGTTTTTCAAGTTCAAGAAGACTGTGAAAATCAGATTTTAAGAGTACGAAATTCTGAAGGAAATGAGAATATCAACGATAAAATGGCTTGCGAATCGTATTGTTGATGGATATGTCCATAAATGATCAACCATAACAAAAAAAACAAAGTTCTCAGAAGATTTTTTTATCTGTAGAACTCATTGCGCTGATCATTTTGGTAAAAAAAAATATTCAAATTTACTCAATAAATCATGATGTTAGGGACCAACATACTCAAAAATTTCGGCTATTCATGACTACTGCTGAGTGATAGTTGACGTTTTTGAGGATTTTGATCCTAGGATGATGATTTATTGAGTAAGTTTGAATATATTTTTATCAAAGTGATCAACACAACGAGTTCTACGAATCAATCGTAAGAATTTTTATGTAGAGAATCAATATTCTCTAGATATAATTTTCTTTTTACCATTGGTCGAATAAATCGTTCGAATTTCGGTGGTTTTCGTGTAAATCCTTCACCAACAAAACAAGGTTTTGTTACTAAACGTTTCCATGCTTTCTCTATATAGATAAAAATTATTTTATTATTTAATTATGAGAAATAAATTTTTATACTTCGTCGTTTTCCTGATTGAACAACACGAAAAACTTCAGCTTCACTAACTGCTTTTACTTTTGGTATTGGTACATCCCATTTACCCTATTAAAAAAAGAAAATCATATTTTTTTGAATGTTTAGAAAAATAATATCTACCGCTTTTTCTTTTCGTTTTTGTTTAATTGTATTTGATAAAACTTTAGCTCGACTTTGTTTTTCACGATCAAGTAAATAAGCAGGTAAAGCACCTTCAGGTACTTCTTGTCGTTGTTTTGTTTCTTTTTCTTCATGACTTTTAATTGTTTTTTTCATTTGAATCTTTTCATTTTGACGACGTTTATTATATAATTTAGCTCTAAATTAAAATAATCAATTTTAAAATTAATCGATTTTTTTCTATTGAATATTTTCTTTTACTTAATGCCACGTAATGTTTGAGCTTTCTTTGATAAAATATGTGGTAAACGTCCTTCTTTTTTCTTTCTAAAAGCAAGAACAAAAAAAAAAAAAAAAAAACTGAATATATACATATCATAATATTTCTATTTTCATACTGTTTTTCATAATGATCGAATCGACGACCATGTCGTTTACGATGAAGTTCAATATGTTCGTTTTGAGGCTAAAAAGATTACGATAATTCTTCTGTATACAACTTACAAAAAAGAACAATATTTATCATTTTCTTACCATGGTACTTTCTTTTTTGTCAAATCGATCTAAAACAAAAGTATTACCAAAAGTGTTCTGAAAAAAATCAAAATAAAACAAAATATCAACTTAAAAAATGTTCTATACAATTCTTTTTATGTTTCTGTCTACTATTCAAATATCAATTCGAATCCACCATATAATTTCACAATTTCTCATACGAATAATAATATCATAGTGATAGATGTCGCTTTGGTTTTTCTAAATGAATTTTTGATTTTTATTAATTAAATTAAATAAGTTCGAACATTTTTTTTTTGTTCAAAAATATTTAAAATAGAATGAATTTTTCGAAAAAATATATTTATTGGTTAATTCAAATGATCCATTAAGATGAAATAATAAATAAATAAATCGATAACATAAACATATGAAAAAAAAAACGAATATTAATATACATCTATTCATATTAGTATTGTTTGAGAACGATTAATGACAGGCGAACCTCCATTAGCACAACAACAACGTGCTGTTGTCGAACTTTATGTACGTTCAAAATGGATTAAAGCAAGTTTAGCACTTGAAGATGAAAATTTATTTATTGAATATGCACATAATAAACATGAACAGCAAATATCAACTGGACAATTAAATACAACAAATACTAATGATGAAACAACACAAAATAATGGCTCTACGAATAATTTTACACCAGATACGATAACAAGTCAAAAACGGACAGTTAAAATAGTTAAACCAGATAATACAGGACTTGGTAGAAATGACATTTGCGTTTTTATTTTTAACATTTTCCTTCTTTTTTTTTTTGTTATATAGGAATAAGTATAAAAGGTGGAAGAGAAAATCGAATGCCAATATTAATAAGTAAAATATTTCCTAATATGCCTGCAGATCAAACTGGACAACTTTATGTTGGTGATGCTATTTTATCTGTGAATGGTAAAGATTTACAGCATGTTTCACATGAAGAAGCAGTACAAATATTAAAAAAAGCTGGAAGAGAAGTTGAACTTGAAGGTTAGTTTAACATAAATTTAGAATAATCAAAGTTACATATGACAAACTCTTTGATTTTCTGATTTATTAAACAAGAATTCTAGAGGTCTTATTGAATGAAATATTAAGAGATGGATACAAAGTTTGATTAAAATACCAATAAAATAAATGCATTCTATCGGTTTTTTTTGTTTATTAGCCATTTATACACCAAACAGAAGATTATGAGCTTTATAGATTTGATATTTGCAAAAGACTTCTTTTATTTTCTATTTCCTGATTTATTTATTTGTTGATTCTTAGAAAAGAACCTCAAGCAAATCGTACTACTTATATTAATTTAAATTAGAAGTGAGAAGAAATTAAAGAAAATTTTCAAGAACACATACAGTTTTTTTTCAAAGATATACTAATCAAAAGTAGTGCTTGATTAGCAATTATCATTATTGAAGATACGTTTAATGACCTAAAGTTTGACTTTATTAAACTCAGAATACTGTTTTTTTTTCTTTTTCATTTATTAAACATTAAATATTCAAAGAAACAAAGACGAATTCATTTGCCAAAAAGAATTCTTCCATAGACTACTTCAATGATAGATTTATATTACTTTTCGATCTTAATTACTGTTGAATAATTATCTAATAAGAACTAATTTCTCTAGAATTCTTAAGAACAAAAAAAAAACAATTTTATTTCTCTAATATTTTAGTTCGATATTTACGTGAAGTAAATGTTTTAATGCAAAAACAAAGTTCATCATATGCACGAAAACAAAATAATCATCAACAATCTCAAGATAATTTAACTGAATCAAATATATCATCATTAAATTCTCAAAGTAAAGATCTATCAAATATAAAAAAACCTTCAACAACAATAACACCTCAACAAACATCAAATGATTCAATACTCTATGAAACAAAACGTATATCATTACGTTTATGTTATATATTTCGTCGTTCATCATCAACGAATGATACTCTTGTTTTATCATCATCATCATCAACAACAACAACAACAACAACACCAATAACAGCACCATCAACATCAACAACAAATGGTTCTATATTAGATATTGTTTTACCTTATGCTCAAACATGTTATAGTGTACGTTTTATTGATGATGTACAAGCAAGAAAATGGTTTCATATAATTCATTCAAAAATTTCTCGTTGTCTTTTGGAAATTTTACCTGAAATAGAAGAATATTTTTATGTTGCACGTCATGCTAATGAAGTTAAAGCATTAGGTTGGTTAACTGAACAAGTTAATAATGATGAAACAACATCAATAACAAAATCATGGAAACCTGTTTTTCTTGTTTTAACTGATGCTGAAATATGTTTTTTATGTTGTGCACCTGTATCAAGACAAACATGTCGAGAACCTGATCTTGTTTATTCAATTCTTTCAACAAGGTAAATAAAAATTAAAAAAATTTTTTTTTTCTATCTTTCATCTATATATATATTTTTTAAAAGACTTGTACAATCAACACGTGATCAAATAAATGATCCGGAAGTATCATTATTATCATTACGTGTTGGAACTAAATTTGGTGTTGTATCACATACATTTCGAGTTGAAACAAAAGCTGATTTAAATTATTGGACTAAAGCAATTAGTCAATGTTTACAAAGTGCTGTTGTACGAATAAAAGAAGTTGTTTTTCGTATGTTAAAAAAACAAAACAAAAAGAAAAATATCTTTTATTTATTTTTGTAATACAAATATTTGTGGTTTTTAGCTTGTAAATGGAATAATCGAACATGTAAATTATTTTTACATTATGAACATGGTTTTACATTATATAGTGATCCAACTGATTCAGTAACAAGTGCTGGTAATCCACCAGGTACGGGTAATGTTCGTTTACTATGGCAACAACCATTTGAAAAACTTCGTTCATCAGCTGATGATAATGAACATTTATTAACATTAGATTTTCATGGTGAAGAAGGAGTTGTGGTATGAGAAAGAAAAAAAAAATACAAAAGTTAAACTAGGAAATATTTTATTTTCTAGGAATTAGATTTTGGTACATCTCCAAAACCATTTGTCTTCCATTTACATGCATTTTTATCAGCTAAAGCAGCACGAATTGGTCTTGTTGGATAAGATCTTATTTTATTCTTTGATTAATATCTATTTCATCTAGTCATTAAAAAAAAAAAATAAACCAAAATTTATATGATGTTCACGACTTATTGTATTGTAGGACAGTTACCCATTTTTTTAAATTTGCCTTGCCTTACACATACACACACACATACACATATTCTCTCTCTTCTCAGATACTTGTGTTTTTCTTTTTTATCAATGCAAAACCAAATGATTATTTTTTTGTTTGTTTTGTTGTTTTTTGATTTGACGTCAAGCCAAACTGCATGAATCAATAATCCTTATCCATTCACATTTTCATTTCTTTTTTTTTTTTTTTTGATGTATTATTAATAATAATATCATTATTATATAACAGTTCTTTTTTTTTTCGCTATGTATGTGTGTTCGTTTTTTTTTCTTTTGCACCGATACCTTAAAGAAAAGAAAATTTTTCGTATTGTATTCTCTCTTCCTTTTTGAGATGATGAATCAAATTTGAAGAAAAAATAAATAATTAAATGCATAGTTAACAAACAAAAAATAATAATAATAATAAGATGAGTCAACTTGTATTTTGATATTTATATTCGGATTCTTTTTCGAATAAGTACGACAAAAAAAAAACTCAATCGACGCATTTTAAAAATCAAACTCAGGAGGAAAGTGTCAGCTGACATACGTAAAACTCGGTGACTCATAATAATCATGTAATAGGTTCGCCTTGTTTTTTTCTCTTTTCTTTTTTTTTTCTACATGATTGTCTCTCCCAACACGTAGCCGTATAAAAAGTGCAAAACTAATATATTTCTACTCAGTAAGAATAAAGATAATAATAGAAACAAGCCCTTCAATAATATTCACATATAGTCGTACGATCATGTGATTTACTATTGAAGCAAAAAAAGACACAAACAGGTTGATAAAAAAATATTTTTTAAACTTTTAGATATTCACTATTTTAAAAATGCGTTCGATTATACTTTTCACCATTGTTTGTATTTCATTGGTTGCATCATCCCCAATTTCAGTTGGTGATGGATTTTCTTTACCAACATTAGAAAATATTGAGTCTCATATCGATCAATTATGGATCAATTTTAAAAAAGGTTATAATATTGTTTACAATACAAGTTTAGAAGAAATTCATCGTTTTAAAATTTTTGCTAATCATGTTAAAATGATTATTCAACATAATATTGAACATGATCTTGGTTTACATACATATCGACTTGGAATTAATAAATTTGCTACATTGGTAACAGAAAAATAAAATCATAGTCAAATATTAAAAAATAAAAAATTTGTTTTCTTTTTAGACAAATGAAGAATTTCGTAAAATGTATAATGGATTTCAACGTAAAAATTATGATCGTTCTCAATATTCAGACCTTCGTCGACCTTATATTTCTGCATCACCCTATATCACTCTTCCAGCATCAGTTGATTGGCGTGATCAAGGTATTGTAACACCAGTTAAAGATCAAGGTCAATGTGGTTCATGTTGGGCATTTAGTACTGTATGTAATAAAGAAATAAAATTAACAAAAAAAAAAAAAAAATTCTCACGAATAAATATTTTAGACTGGTGCACTTGAAAGTCATCATGCTCGAGCAACAGGTAAATTAGTTAGTTTAAGTGAACAACAACTTGTTGATTGTTCAACTAATTGGGGTAATAATGGATGTAATGGTGGTTTAATGGATAATGCCTTTAAATATATACATGATAATAAAGGTATTGATGATGAACAATCATATCCATATGTTGGCAAAGTATGATTATTTAATTTTTTAAAATAGTAATATATATATATATATTGATTGTTTTGTATAGGATGAAGCAGCTTGTAAATTCCGTCGAAAATCTGTTGCTTCAACATGTGATGGTTTTGTTGATATTCCACATGAAAATGAAACAGCATTACAAGAAGCATTAGCTCTTCAAGGACCTGTTTCAGTTGCTATTGATGCTAGTCAATCATCCTTTCAATTCTATGTTTCCGGTAAATAAATAATAGAAAAAAATAATTCATTTTATAATTAGTTTACTTTCTTAAATGATTTAGTTTAAAAAAATAAGATTTAATGTAGGTTTTAAGCTGCTGAATTGATGTGTTTTAAAAGAAATCAATTGACAATCTGTTTATTATTATTATTATTATTTTTTTTTCTAGGTGTTTATTCTGATCCAAATTGTTCATCTGAAGACCTTGATCATGGTGTTTTAGCTGTTGGTTACGGTATTCTTAATGATCCAGTAAAAGGCAAACAAGAATATTATATTGTTAAGAATAGGTAAATTGAAAAATTGTTTCTTTTTATTAAATATTTTTGTTGTGTTCTATAGTTGGTCAGCTGCATGGGGAGATAAAGGATATATTAAAATGGCTCGTAATAAGAAAAATATGTGTGGTATTAGTAGTATGGCTAGCTATCCACTTGTTTCAGATAAATCTTCAGCAGAAGCTGATTTATTTGATATTTAAATTCAAAATGAAGAAAAAAAAAAAGAAAAGACAATTAATAATTATTTTGAAGGATTCTAAAACTTTTAATTCGACTTTTTTTTCTCTATTGCGTGTGATTTTTCATTTATTTAAATTGTATAAAGCAAAAAAAAAATTAGCTTTCCATTGTTTATGCTTGTATTAGTTGAATTTTTTTATTATTTGTACTTGGTACATAATGATGAAATTCATCTATGTTCGTATTTTATATTTAATTTCGACATTCTTCTTTCACTTTTTTTTCCGTCTATTGTGAATATTAAAAGAAAAAAAACTTCAACAACATATTTATATATATATAAACATGCACTACGATAATACTTTGATATGAAATCTAGACAAAAACAATTATTTATTTAATCAGTTGTTTTGTAATGATGGCTTCTTATGTGATGATTATATTTGACTATTGACTAGAGATCATTATAGTATTTCTAATAATATATTGGTATTAATAAATTAATCAAATAATTGAGTGAAGAAAATAAATAAGGCTAATTACGATGTATAGATACATTCTTTGATATACTTTACTTGAGATCATTGTAAACGAATTCATTTCTAATCTAAAAAAGAATTTTTAGATACCTTTCTGATGAAAATAAATTTTCAGATCGAGTTCATCTGTAAAATAGATATGTGATTTATATATTATTATCATGAAAAAAATAAGTTTTCTAGTCTTGTCTGTTTTAATGATCAGAAAAAAATCTCTTCAATATTGTGTTTGCTTTTTCATCCTACGACTTGAACTGAATTTCTGTCAGTATTTCACGTAAATTTTCTCTTCCGGAAGGACTACTTAAAAGTCTGCAAGGGTGAAGGTCCAATTTTTGGGAGCATAGACACATTGCACGCGTTATCAGAATCACAAACGCTAGGAGAGCTAAGTCGATCTTCGTAGGGGCGCCGCTCTCTCGCTTCCCCCCCACGCTGGATAAAATACTGATTCCTATGAGACTGTTTCTATAGTCATTTTATTTAAATTTTCTGCAAACAACAAATATAATTTTTCATATTTTGGTTTAATGGAAATTTCTTTCCCGTTATCGGTTATATTTATTTTGAAATGATGATCCGTTTTTTCTTTTGTATTTGCCAACCTTTATTTTATAGATTCTATAGGTTCAGTTCTGTTTCGTAGATATAATCAAGACAAATTAGAGAATTTCCCAGTTCGTCCACATAATTTGTTTCTTCTTTCATCGACAAATATTTTTTCCCACTTTGTCGATAACTCTTTTTTTCTTTAAAAGACCTTATTTTAATATTTAGTTGCTTCATCAACAAGTTAAGTCGCAAGTAATGAAGAGCACCATGAATTTCTACTTGGTTATTTTAATTTAATCTAGAAACACAACTAATAGCAGTATTTTTGTTTATTTTTTAATAATAATATTGAATAAGAAGGGATGTGGGCGTTGGTTTCCACTTAATCTGCACACACAGCTACCCAATCAAAACCATCATCGTCACCCATATCCATAGCTGTACTCACATTCTTATTCATTTGGATCATCATCTATAAAAGACTAGTAGTGATCAATTCTAGCGTGCCCTATCACCTTCTAAAAAGATAAATACTCATTATGCGCTTTATTATTAGATTGTAGTCTGTTAAAGGAAGAAAAGTTATTGACAAAACGGGATGATATCCATTTTATAGACTCTTCTAAAACGAATACAAGTTAATAATTATATTGAACTATTTAGAAGAATGTATAATTGTTTTCTTTTACTATCTGTGCAGATTGACTGATATATTTAATATTACCATCACTGAATATCTTATGATCAATCAATGTTTACTACTTTTGTAGCAAAAGAAATAAAAACAATTATTTAAATCTCTCAAATAGATTTTTTTTTGAAATGTAATAAAATTATTATATTGATGAAAAATATGAAAATGAAGTAAGAATCAACTATCATCGAATGAATGTTTATCTACATTTGTTAGTTATTGTTTCTTTTTAAAGTGTTGCTAATTATAGGTGATGATAGCTTCCATTAGAGTTTCGAATAGACTATCATATTTCTACTCTCGCTAGACCATAGTTTGTTCTTTGGCACTTTTTTATCTTTAGCTAAATGTTTCTAAAACAATTTTCTTCAAATACAATCCGATTTTCAAAACTATAAGTTGACTTTTTATAATACTCGTTAGCTTTTTCCATATGATTGAGGATTAAATTGGAATATAGAATGATTATTATTGATAAAAAAAAAAGGAAGGACTAACTATATTTTCTTCAAAACTTAATTATGATGAGTAAAAGAATTTCAATTCGTAGTAGTATTGCCGATTTTCTCTGAATTTGTCTCATATTACCTACAAATCTAATCTATCAAAAGATCCAATTAATATCGAAACGGTAAATGATTACAAAACTTCGCTTTCCTTATCTTTCGTCGTCAATATTATTTCTTGCTTAAGGTTAACCTTGATGTGCTATGTATCTTTTCTCTTCTTGTATATTACCGTTCTACAACGATGAGTAAGCAGGA